GGCGGGGCTTGTGGAGTTAGTATAAAGAGGAATTCAGACCAAAGCATTTTAGTTCCACTTTATTCAGAGCCCAACTGAAGGATTTAAATGTGAAAAAGAAGGATTTAAAGAGACAGTGCTAAAACTAGCCAGTGTGAGAAATGCCCCGCAAAAGGGGCGGGGCTTGTGGATTTCGTATAAGGAGGAATTCAGACCAAAGCATTTTAGTTCCACTTTATACAGAGCCCAACTGAAGGATTTAAATGTGAAAAACAAGGATTTAAAGAGACAGTCCCAAAACTAGCTGATGGGAGAAATGCCCCGCAAAATGGGCGGGGCTTGTGGATTTCGTATAAGGAGGAATTCAGACCAAAGCGTTGTAGTTCCACTTTATGTAGACCCTAAGAGAAGGATTTAAGATAAGATTTATTTTTCTTCTGCTACCTTCCATTTTATTTTGATTTTTGATTTGTGTACTTTCTTTATTTTTTCTTGTATAGTTATTTTTTTTTAATGAAATGAATAAATTTTTTGAATTGAATTGATTTAAATGTGAAAACAGATTTAAAAGCAATACTTCAAGTAAAATTTTACTCTGGATTAAAAAAAGTTTTTATTAATCACCATTATTTATGTGTTTGCTAAGGTTGATTAGCATTAGCCATGTTGATTTATCAGATCACATATAAATAATGATTTATTTGGGTGGTACCGGTACTTACGATCACTTCCACCGTGACGGGGACGGTGCTGTTGAGGGCTGGGCTCCCCCCGTCCTTGGCCATCACCGTCAGGTAAATCATCCCGTTGGGAACCTTCTCGTAGTCGAGAGGCTTGGTGACGCTGATCACTTGGACGGAGAGGGAAAAGGTTTACGAGTCGAGACATTTCACCTTTATTTGATCTAAAGTTGGGCTTYCTAAAAGGTGAGCGTACCTGCGTAGCCCTCCACCATGACGATGCTGAAGAATTCACCGAAGGCGGAGGCGGAGGTGATGGTGTACGTCAGGACGTTGTTGGGAGGGGAGTCCTCATCGGTGGCCTGTAGGCGGGCAGAACAGGGAACGAGACGCTCAACATATGTTTCCGTGTCACTCAAAACGCCACAACTTAAAGAAGTTTCAAGCGCCTGAAACAATGAGCCAGATTGTAAAGAGCAGATGCTGCAGAAGACGGCACTAATATTTCTGCGTTTACGTCTGAACCGTATCTGCGTGAGAGCTGGAGCATGTGCGAGCAGCCAGGAAGCTGTCACTCTGCGCTGGCGTGTTAGCGGACAGATTAAAGCTGATCTGGGCTATTAGCTGAGCGGGCGTCAATACTGGATGAACACCAGCCGAGCCGAGACGAGCCAAGCAGGCGGAGGACAGACGAAGACGCACTTTGCAGGACTAATCCGCAACAACATCAACAACAATGATGACACCCCCTCATTATTCTTGAGTTGGCAGGAAGTTTAAAACATGAGTCCTCCGGCTGTGAGGGATTCTGCCGGGCCTCGGTGGCATCATTAGAGGCTGGACAGGTTGTCAGAAACACTCACTTGTATCTCCCTACAACAGGCACATCTCTGCTCTTTCATTTAATGCCAAAGTGTTGAGTAAGCACTACCTCCCGCCTCCCCACCCCACAACTTTTCTTTTTCATTACGCCTGGTTTTAAAATCAATTCTCCAACAATTGTTTTTTCAGGAAAAGTTGTGTAAAAATTAAATAAAAACAAAATCGTTGCAAATCTCTGTTTTATTCACAAAGTCGAAACAAAATTCTTTAATTTTTAAGAAAATATAAGGTCTTTGGGATTTTATGGCAGCAACAGATCGTTGTAGATGAGCTTAGTTAATAATCTTTGTTCCACCGGTGGGAATAAACGACACAGTTTCTTCCTTTTAACACCAGATGGTACCGGGGGGCTTTTATTCTGAAAACCAGGGTGTCAGACGACTTCCTCAGGTTCGTACCTTTAGCTTGACACTCTTACAGAAATAATAAATGATGAAAGGCTTTCAAGGAATTCGAGGGGCGACTGTTAAGGGGTTAATGCACCCCCATGCTATCAGAGAGGCAGGGTGTTCAGGATTTTTTGAGTTGTGTTGCTGCCATCAAATTCAAATACTTTTTTTAAAAACAAAATTGTATAATTCATTAGTTTAAACATGAGATTTACAAATTTGTTCTTATTTACATTTTACTAAAGATGTAACGATTCATGATTATTTTTTGTTTCTCAACTAAATGAATTGTAGTCATTTTATAAACAAATGTTTCTTTTAATTTATCACCATATGTGACCCGTCACATCGAAATGAGGATTAAGTCTAAAAGTTGTGTATGGAGAAAAAGGCAAATATATTGTTTTGACTAAAATGTTAACAAAAATTGCAAAAAACAAACAAAAAACTGATTTTGAAGAAAAACGCCTTAAAATTTTGAGATTTTCCCTGTGAGTTAGTAAAGTTTTGTTTATTTTTAGCTGGAAAATCTCAATATTCAAATATAATTAGAGGTTTCCTCTTTATAAGGACATCAAATATTCCTCATTAAAATGACATAAAATAAGGATTCAGACCAAATATTTATGTATTATTGTAACCAACAAGACAAATTAAGTCATATGTATGGATTTAATTACGATATCAGAATGATCCAGGTATCAAAATGTAGCTTTTAAAGACAAGAATGTGAAAATGTAATTAGGTCATTTTGACCAAATTTGAGTTAATCCTCATTTCGATATGATGGCTCACTTTAGTTTTTGTATCAACCTGTAACTCTGCTGTCTTAGTATCAGAATAAAACTTCAAAATAAATAAAAACGTCATCACAAATCCTTAATTTGTCATAACTTCCTGTTCTACAATAACATTGAAATCAATTCATTCATTTTTATGAATCGATTCATATTTTAAGCAGTTATAATCGGTTATGAATTGATAAAATGTTATATCTTTACATTTTACACGAGTCGATGCAGCGAATCAAAAAGCTGAGTGGAAGAAAAAGAGTTGAAGAGAAGACAAACGGTTTAAGAAGCTGCTGTTGTAGGAGGATCAGACCTCCAGGGCAAGAAGCAAACATCCTCTCCTTCCAGCTGCTTCCTACTTCCTGTTTTCACTCAGGTGTGTGTGCTCACAACACTGCCGGCCAAATCACTGACACACAACTGTGCACCTGGCTTTTCTTCCCCCTCTCTCTCCTGGGCAGCGTATAAATTTCAGAAGCGTTTTAAGGTGAGCTTCCCAATAATCAAACACGGCGAGCTGAGCGTTGAGGCCAGTTGTTGGCGTACTGGAGCCCCGGTGAGCCTCGAAATGTTTTTTTCTCTCTTCTGGGTGCAATCAAAGCAAACGTCGAGCCATTAGTTACAGCTGAGCCTGTGTTCCTGCACCTTCGGTGTGGCAGTGACTGATGGCCAACACATCGAGACCAGCAGGTCCCTCTGAGAGCTGTTCTCGTACGTTCATTAACTGCAGGAAAACCAGGGAACAAACAGGAAACTAGCAGAGCAGAAAACTAAAACAAACTGTAAAGATCTGTTTTACATTTTCAATGTGAACATCTTTAAGTAACTTAGTGAGTCAAACTTATAAAATKTACTTAGTCCAAACCTGCTTTCTAACTTGTTTCTGTGCAAAAGTTCAACAGTACTAAGAAAATATGCATTTGGCTGATCGAAGCTAAAACTAAATTATCAAATTTTACGACCAATAAAAAGCTAATAACAACAAAGCAGTCACTAGAAGCTAAAATTAGCAAAAACAATGGCTAAAATCAGTAAAACCACAATTTAAATCTAAAATTAGCATAACTTTAGCTAAATACTAAAGTTAAAACAATTAGTAAAATGTTGGTTACGCATTGTAACCCCAGATTCTATGAGTGTAAGCTCCGCCCTAGGGCGGAGCTTACACTCATAGAATCTGGGGTTACAATGCGTAACCAGTATTTTACGACTTGTTTTGACTTTAGCATTTAGGTAAAGTTATGCTAATCAGCATAACTTTAGCTAAATGCTAAAGTCAAAACAAATAGTAAAACATTAGTTACGCAGTGTAACCCCAGATTCTGAGTGTAAGCTCCGCCCTCTAAAGGGCTCGACACATGGGAGGCGACGTCGCTCGCTCTCCATTCATTTCCTATGGAAGTTGTGCGGTGAGGCGACAATCCCGTGCCCTCCTCCAGCTAAGCGACCGGCGAGAATAGTGCACGTGAAATTTCGTGCTCGTACACGTAGACG